AAACATACTCTATGAATTATTACTTGAACTATTTTATGCCTGGAGTACTTCTTATCATTCTCCTTTATGGATTCTGTTTCTAGTATTTTATGTATATTTGTGTCTATATTTTTTGCCCTACTTCTCTCCTTCTTCAGATGGGTCCCCTTCCATGTTTTACTATTGAGGAAATTTTTCCTATTTCTTGAACTTCCATAAACAGCTTCTTACTCTACCTGTAGAACTACCCCGAATCATCATTGTTTGAAGGGCTTGAGGTCAAAGTCCTCCTAGAGGGCTCAGAACTCCTGGGGATTGTCACACATTCTCCCTGTTTAGGCATCCACACAAAGGAGCCCTGGTTGCCCAATGGTTAAACACTCAGCTGCTAACCAACAGGTTGGCGGTTCAAACCCACCAAGGGCTCCTTGAGAGAAAAGACCTGGCGATCTGCTCCCATAAAGATTACAGCCTAGGAAACCCTATGAGGCAGTTCTACTCTGCCCTATAGGATTGCTCTGGGGTCACTATGAGTCGGAATCAACTTGTACATAACAACGACCAGGCCTCCACACTGTAGAGGAGAGGGGTAAGTAGCGGGCATCCCTTGGGGCAGACCCAGCAGCAGGCCATGTTAGGAGTGTAGCCATGGAGTCACCGAATAGAATGTGAAAACGAGAGTTCCTATTCCTGGCTTTCCACATCATACCCCTGGACTGTCAGACCAGGCTCCTCTGCCACACATCTGGCTGGGAATCCACTGCTCTGAACACGGAAGCTGTGAGACTCAGCTCATCCTCAGATAGGACTTCCTCTGTGAGGCGTCCTCTCCTTGGTTAGCTGGAAGACATTTCTCTTGGCTTGACTCTCTTACAGGCATGACCGCTTTTTTCTTTTTATCTTTTTTGTGGTTGTTGTTGTTTAATTATCAGGAAAAGCTTTCCTTCTCCAGTGTAGCCTGTTTGTTTGTATTTTCTGAACACCAAATCCTATAAGGGACCATTATTTTCTCCTTTGCTTCAACTGTTCGGAAGCTCAGATCCAAACTGGTACGTCATCGCCGTCAAAGGTGAAGACCGTACGGACTGCATGGCCTACGATTCATGTACTACGTGCAGATCTACTTTCATCTTACTATTCTACTTTCATTCTTTTATTCCCCCCACTTTCATTATTTAAGTATTTACATTCTCTAACAGTGTATAAAGGAGCCTTGGTGATGCAGTGGTTAAGTGTTCAACTGAGAACCAAAAGGTCAACAGTATGAACCCACCACCTGCTCTAAGGGAGAAAGATGTGACAATCTGCTTCTGTAGAGATTTACAGTCTTGGAAACTATATGGGGCAGTTCTCCTCTGTCCTATAGGGTTACTATGAGTTGGAATCAACTTGAAGGCAGTAGATTTTTAAGTGTATAATAATGTATCTTAAATTTTTTTGTTGAATAAGATAAAATATTAAAAAATGATAATTATATTAATAAACTAATCCATTTCACTAGTAACACCATGCTTAGCAATGTATTTTGTATTCACTTGGGAGATGTTTATAAAGACTGGAAAATCCCTGGCTTGAGGAATATGGTTGGGGCAGTAGAGAAAGCTCTGTGATTGAGGCATCTTTCCAAGTGGAGCCCTGGGTCCAATGAAAAACAATGATGGTCTCTACTCAGAGACCATCTGTGTGCTGTCAACTCACTTTGCTGGCCTCTTGAACCGGAATATTCTCCAGGATTATTATAGTTATTGGAAGGGGCAGTAAACATCAAAAAATTTTGTCATGAAGGAGATGAGATGCAGTATTTGTCTACTTTGCCAGAGACCTTGCCCTGAGTTTTAAGCTTATGTTTTCTAAATTCCTTGGGGCTTGACTGACCCTTAATACTACATAATGTCCCACAGTCATTGTTCTAGGCAGCTCCTGGTTGGAATGTGACACATCTAGAATACTGGGAGTTTCACGTAATTGACCTTGGTTGATGTTAGAATCATGTTCCAAAATACTTGACCATATTAGCCAACCAGCATAAATAACCCTTTCAAATGATAGAATTCCGTAGCTAATATTTGGATGCATTTCCACATGTGTTCTTTTCAGTCTGTTACTAATTTTAAAGGCTTGACTACTTCCCACCCAAGTACTCTGACAGTAAAATCATGCACAGGATGGAATTGTAGGAGGAAGCTAAATCCATTCTGGTCTCTTGTGACACATTAATAGTTCAAAACTAGGGATATTAAGAATATTTAACTTCCATTAAAGAATTTTATATGGAAGTTGGGGCTGCTACTAAACCATAGAATCATCTTCCTATAAGAAGTGCCTCCGGCTCTGAGCTGGAAATGTTCATTAAGCTGGAAAGAGCCTCTTTCCTTAGGACCTCAGGAGAGCTTGTGGATGCTGTCGAGTGGCAGAGATGGACTGTATGGGCTCTGAGCTTTAATGTGACAGAACCTAACTCCCATAGGGCTTTGCTAAAAAGTATCTTAAAAGGAAATGTACATAAAGGCAGGGGAGAAAGGGAAGAATGGCTGAAAGAACCAGGAAGATTCTTTTGGAAGAGAAAAAATATGGCATTTGTGTGTGTGTGTGTGTGTGTGTGTGTGTGTCCAAATATTCATATACCTCAAGGTGGGAGCGGTCTAAGAAGTACCTAGTCCAACCTTCTGACCAATACATAACTCATCTTTACAACATCCTTAAGTGCTGATATAGCGTGTTGTTGTTAGATGCTGCCAAATCAATTTGGACTCATAGTGACTCTATGTAAAGGGTAGAACTGCCCCATAAGGTTTTCTAGGCTGTAATCTTTATGGGAGCAGATCACCAGGTCTTTCTCCTGCGGACCCCCTAGGTAGGTTCAAACTGCCAGGCTTTGAGTTAGCAGCCAAGAACTTAACCATTGCACCACCAGGGCTCCTTGTGATACATAGCATAACTCTACTTCAAGATCTCCAGGACAAAGTTCACTGTCTCACAAGGAAAATAACTTAATATTCAGACAACTCGAATTGATAGAAAGTTTTTCCTGACATTGAAGATTTTCCTCGTTATGTCCTCGTTGGTCCTAGTTCTCTTCCCTGGAGTCACAGACAACTTATTAAATTCATCATCCACAGATAATTCTAAATAAGTGTTTGGAGGCTGTTATGATAATCATGATGGTGATGATGGCCTTCGTCATCATCATAAATAGTAACAGCACATAGCATTTCCTGAGCAATCCCTATATGTGCTGTGTTAAGCACTTTACACTTTTATCTCATTAATCCTCATAACTGCTTGGTGGAGTAGATACTTTTCACAAACGAGGAAACTGAGAATTACGGAGATGAAGTAGCTTGTCCTGGGGAGCCAGCAGAGTTAGGAGGAAGCAAAGCCAGGATTGAAATCAGGCAGCCTGACTCCTGATAAAGCCTTCCTAAAAAAAAAAAAAAAACAGTTGCCATTGAGTTGACCCCAACGCATAGTGACCCTGTAGGACAGAGTAGAACTGCCCCATAGAGTTTCCAAGGAGTGGCTGGTGGATTCGAACTGTTGAACTTTTGGTTAGCAGCCAAGCTCTTAACTGCTGTGCCACCAGGGCTCCAAAAATCCTCCCTAAGCGATTTCCTTTCTAGCCTCAGGTTAGTGAGCCATGCCATGGTTCACAGGACAATGTCAGCAAGTGTGTGGGTGTTTTCTCAGTGGAGTGTTATGGAATCTGGATTCCACCACCGTCTGCATCCAAAGGAACTGTTCCATATATATTCTCATGCACAAAGTCATCCTTTTAGTACATTCTTTTTTTTACCATGTCGTCCTTCAGTGGTTAAAATGTCTTATATTAGCATTCCTAGACTACCAGAAGTCATGTGCATGGAAAACGCAGCTCTCCAGTTTCCTTTGACTGGTCCACTGATTTTTCCAGTTGATCCTTCCCAAACCAAGATAACTGAGTCAGGAGAGGTCGCTTGAAGTAGAGTTAGAGGAACAGTGCGCAACATCTAATAGCTGCTCCATAAATATGTGTTGAATGAATGAATGGATGAGTAGCCTCCCTAAAAAGGTAGTTTAATCTTTAGAGCTGAGAGCAGGAGACATTTTTCTGGTTACTTAAATAATAACTACATTTTTTTTATTGTAAATTTGTATTTGTCATCGTAAATTATTAAATTTGTATTTCTCTGTTGATTAGACTCACCCTTGCAAACTTTTTAGGCCACAGTTTCATTGAGAATAATGTTTTGGATACTATATCTTTTCATTTTTATGATGCATGAAGTACGTAGTCTCATTGCCATTGAAATGTCAAATTATGAGGACCTCTGACTTACACCTCTGGGAAATCCAGCCTCCTGTACAGGCGCCCTAGGGGCTGTGAATCTGTTTTCTAAGCTCTGTTCCTCAGGAACGTTAAGAAGCCTACCTTTCTGGACAGATATTTTAGCAGCACCTTTATTCTTGTCCTTGTCTATTGACATAGTATGTTTCCATAGCAACTGAAACAAAGCAAAGCTGAAATATTAGGTTTAAAAATTCAGTGGATTAGTGAAGAGGAAAAGACGTTTTATAGAATCATAGTGAGGGAATATATCTCTAAATATTGAAACCCTGCCTCCTATAACTAAAATGCGTAAGTTTTTAAATAGAATGCTCTTTGGTTAATTTTGTATAGCAAATGAGATAAACAGAGTGTAAGTCTATTCATGAGTTTATATTCAGTATTCAGACATTCAGACAACTCTAATTGATAGAAAGTTTTTGTGTTTCTTTTTTTTTTGGTCATACAAATATGGTTAGGCCAGATATCCCGAACTTTCAGGAACCCAGCACCTCAGAGACATTCATCTGGCACCAATTCAGGAATGAGTTGCTAGGTTATTCCTCATCCCCCGGGATAGAGATGCTTTGCATCTGGTGTTCAGAGATAACTATAAGGGCCCAGTGGTATTCATGCAAGTTTGTCAAATCTGTCCAACCCTTTAACAAGTCTGTTGGTTGTACGCTAATGGTATTTGTTTTTGTGTTGCATTTCTTAGGTTTGCTGGGATGGGGAACCTGCTCAAAGTCCTTACCAGGGAAATTGAAAACTATCCACATTTTTTCCTGGATTTTGAAAGTAAGTTCCAAACATTAAAAGACAACAATGGAAACTTGTTATTTTCTTTACAGCTTGTTAATAAGAAAGTTATAAGATAAAGATTTTATATGATACTCAAACCAAATACAATTATTTTTATGCATTTCTTTCTGAATGTCACCGAAGATCATTTTTCTTTTTCTTTTTTGCATGTTTTCAGAAACCCAATGGAAGATCTTTTTAATGTGTCCATGGTTTTCTTTGACTTGTAGGCCTCCCATAAGTCATCATCATATATCTTTCCTGATAATGTTCATGAATTACTACCTCATACCTTAAAGAAAAATAGTAAGGGCAGCAATTTACACAGATTAATATAAAACAAACAGCACTAGAAGTGAAAGAGAAAGTAGTCAAAACCAGAAATAAGTTTGCAGATAATTTATTTTTTGAGTCATCTGCATCTGTTGTTTATATGTTATCTGCTTGTACAATACCATTTTGGCATTTTGAGATATATCTCTTTTCATCCAAAAGGTTATGTTTCTTTTATCAAAAATTTTATTTTATTTTTTGTAAGAATAGAATGGCTTAAAAATCATGACTGAGTAAATACCAAGATTGTTTCTTGTTTATATTATTAATTGAATACATTTAAAAATGAGTGACACCGTCATTTGTAATCAGCCTAAACCTCATGTTTTCATCTTCACTCTTTTGCTACCCCCTTTTTTAAAAATATAATTCTAGAATAGCAGCAACAGTTACGTTTTTTCTAGTATTCATCATTTTTTAAAACTTTAATCTGCTTTAAACTTTAATTTTTCAAAATATTCTATCTCTATTTAAAAAAGATAATAATAGATCTTCCTTACACATAGACTAAACATTCTAACAGGAGATTTTATAAATAAATGCTAGAAGACCCTGCCAAGGTGCACTAATCCAAAAGGTGAGAGCTCCCTAGAGGTGTCTTTTCAGTATTCTTTGTTTTGCTTAAAATAGCCACTTGAAAAGAAAAAGTAGCCCCAAAGATCATGTATTCTGAAAAAAATATTTAATCTAGATTATATTCATTGAATGACATCTCATTTCTGATATAACTCAATTTGTTGTTTTTGCTGCTGCTGCTATTGTTATGGTGGAGTTTGGTTTGGTTTGGCTTGGTTTCATTTGGCTTGGTTTCGTTTGGCTTGGCATGGTTTGGTTTAGCAAAGGATGTGTCTTGGAGCTCAAGGGCCAGATTGATTTCACACTTCAAATGGAATGTGCTTTTCTACTGGTGTAACTTTTGCTACACCTCTCAAATACATCTTATTTCTACTGTTATTGCTTTTAAAATGATGATCTATTAATAACATTAAAGAATTTTGGCAAAATAAATTATCTATTATCCTACAACCCTAATTTTACTATTTACATTTTTAATTGCACCCTTTCACTTCTTGTTATTATGCATTTTACATTGCTGCATTCAGCATGTTCAAAGGCCAAAATAGTGTTAAAATACCCTAGTCACTCACAACTGCGAAGGCCTATAAACACCTAGGGATGTTACATCCTTGTTCTTTCTCTGGAAGCCACATGCAGCTGCACATGCTCACAAGAACTTACCAGAACTCAGTGGCCCACATTTGCCAAGTTAGCTGTTCTTAGATTCATGGCTTTCCATGTTTCCTCAAGGACTACTGTTGAATTATTTTCGATGTGTAATCTTAAAAGCCTTTAATTTTCGTAAGTTCTCTGGAGCACCAGGTTTCTGAGGCAATGGCTCAGGAGATACCCTAACCCTAAAGCAGGTGGGAATGGGTAGAGAGGAGTCTGTGGTTGAAATCTGTTCCTTCTACCTCTGCAACCAGAGGACTCAGTCCACTCAGTCTTGTACATTGGACATTCTATTAACATTTTTTCCTCACTCATCTGTCAGTTTGTTGTACTGTGATGGCTTGCGTGTTTCTGTGGTGCCAGAATCTATGCCACTGGTATTTCAAATTCCATCAGGGTCACCCATGGCGGACAGGTTTCAGCAGAGCTCCCAGACTAAGACATACTAGGAAGAAAGACCTGGCCATCTGCTTCTAAAAAAATTGGTCAGTGAAAGCCTTATGAAAAGCAGTGGAACATTGTTTGATATAGTGCCTGAAGATGAGCCTCTCAGGTTAGAAGGCACTCAAAATACGACTGAGGAAGAACTGCCTCCTCATAGTAGAATCGACCTTAATGGCATGGATGGAGTAAAGCTTTCAGAACCTTCGTTTGATGATATGACCCAACTCAAATTGAGAAAAAAAAGCTGCAAACATCCATTAATAATCAGAATGTGTGATGTACGAAGTATGAATCTAGAAAAATTAGAAATCATCAAAAATGAAATGGAAAGCATAAATATCAATATCCTAGGCATTAGTGAGCTGAAATGGACTGGTATTAGCCATTTTGAATTGGGCAATCATATAGTCTATGCTAGGAATGACAAATAGAAGAATAATAGCATCACATTCATTGTCAAAAAGAACATTTCAAGATCTATCCTGAAGTACAACACTGCCAGTGATAGGATAATATCCATACGCCTACAAGGAAGACCAGTTAATATGACTATATTCAAATTTACACACCAACCACTAATGCCAAAGATGAGGAAATTGAAGATTTTTACCAACGTCTGCAGTTTGAAATTGATCATACATGCAATTAAGATGCATTGACAATTACTGGTGATGGGAATGTGAAAGTTGGAAACAAAGAAGAAGGGTCGGTAGTTGGAAAATATGGCCTTGGTGGTAGAAATGATGCCGCAGATCACATGATAGAATTTTGCAAGACCAGCAACTTCTTCATTGCAGATACCTTTTTTTAACAACATAAATGATGACTATACACATAGACCTCGCAGGATGGAATACATAGGAATCAAATTGACTACATCTGTGGAAACAGATGATGGAGAAGCTCAATATCACCAGTCAGAACAAGGTCAGGGGCTGGCTGTGGAACAGACTATCAGTTGGTCGTATGTAAGTTTGAAGCTGAAGAAAATTAAAACAAATGCATGAAAGCCAAAGTATGACCTTGAGTATATCCCACCTGAATTTAGAGACCACCTCAAGAATGGATTTGACACACTGAACACTAATGACCAAAGACCAGACGAGTTATGGGATGACATCAAGGACATCATACATGAAAAAGCAAAAGGTCATTAAAAAGACAGGAAAGAAAGACAAGACCAAAATGGATGTCAGAAGAGACTCTGAAACTTGCTTTTGAAAGTAGAGTAGGTAAAGCAAATGGAAGAAATGATGAAGCAAAAGAGCCGAACAGAAGATTTCCAAGGGTAGCTCAAGAAGACAAACTAAGGTATTATAATGAAATGTACAAAGACCTGGAGTTAGGAAACCAAAAGGGAAGAACATGCTCAGCATTTCTTAAGCTAAAAGAACTGAAGAAAAATTCAAGCCTCAAGTCACAATATTGAAGGATTCAATGGACCAAATATTGAACAACACAGGAAGCATGAAAAGAAGATGGAAGGAATACACAGTCACTGTACCAAAAACAATTGGTCGACATTCAACCATTTCAGAAGGTAGCATGTGATCAAGAACCAATGGTGCTGAAGAAAGAAGTCCAAGCTGCACTGAAGGCATTGGGGAAAAAACAAGGCTCCAGGAATTGATGAAATAACAATTGAGATGTTTCAACAAACAGATGCAGCACTGGAGGTGCCCACTCATCTATGCCAAGAAATTTGGAAGACAGTTTCCTGGCCAATTGACTGAAAGAGTTCCATATTTGTGCCCATTCCAAAGAAAGGTAACCCAACAGAATACAGATATTATCAAACAATATCATTAGTATCACATGCAAGTAAAATTTTGCCAAAGATCATTCAGAAATAGTTGCAGCAGTACATCCACAGGGAACTGCCAGAAATTCAAGCTGTACTCAGAAGAGATCATGGGATGAGGGCTATGACTGCTGATGTCAGATAGATCATGGCTGAAAGCAGAGACTACCAGAAAGATGTTTATCTATGTTTTATTGACTATGCAAAGGCATTTGACTATGTGGATCATAACAAATTATGCATAACATTGTGAAGAATGGGAATCCCAGAACACTTAATTGTGCTCATGAGGAACCTGTACATAGACTATGAGACAGTTGTTCGAACAGAACAAGAGGATACTGCGTGATTTAAAATCAGAAATGGTGTGCATTAAGGCTGTATCCTTTCACCATACTTATTCAATCCATATGTTGAACAACTAACTGGAGAAGCTGGACTATATGAAAAAGAACACAGCATCAGGACTGAAGGAAGATTCATTAACAGTGTTCAATATGCAGATGGCACAACCTTGCTTGCTGAAAGTGAAGAGGACTTGAAGCACTTCCTGAAGAAGATCAAAGACTATAGCCTTCAGTATGGATTATATCTCAACATAAAAAAAAAAAAATATTCCTCACAACTGGACCAATAAGCACCATCATGATAAATGGAGAAAACACTGAAATTGGCAAGGATTTCATTTTACTTGGATCCACAATCAATGCCTGTGGAAGCAGCAGTCAGGAAATCAAATGACATAGTGCACTGGGAAAATCTGCTGCAAAAGAACTTTTTAAAGTGTTAAAAAGCAAAGATGTCACTTTGAGGACTAAGGTGCACCTGACCCATGTCATGGTATTTTCAATTGCCTCATATGCATGGGGAAGCTGGACAATGAATAAGGAAGACTGAAGAATTGATCCCTTTGAATTATGGTGTTGGTGAAGAATATTGAATATACCATAGACTGCCAGAAGAATGAACAAATCTGTCTTGGAAGAAGTACAGCCAGAATGTTCCTTAGAAGCAAGATGGCGAGACTTCATCTCATGGACTCTGGACATGTTAGCAGGAGGGATCAGTCCCTGGAGAAGGGCATCATGCTTGGTAAAGCAGAGGGTTAGAGAAAAAGAGGAAGACCCTCAATAAGATGGATTAACACAGTGACTTAAAAGATGGGCTCAAACATAGGAACCATTGTGAA